GTGCAGAAGTGGGGTAGAGGGGGAGGAAAAATAACGCACGACACCCAACCAAGGTGAGAGAGCACTCTGCATCGGCTTTTGGCGCGGGTGGCGCGGCGTAGCGGGGCGCGACGGCACCGGTGCAGCGGAGACTGAGGAGGCTGCGGCCGGCCCGTCCCACCGCTGCCCTTCCCTCAAAGTTTGAACGCGGCAGGCTGCTGCGCCGCGACACCAGCGGCGGCCCTCGCACTGCTCCGAGCACTGCTCCCTACGGCGCTGTCAGCCGGCCGCACGACGCCGGCACGTCGCACACAAACTTGGCGCTGGGCTTTTGCGCTGCTGCTGCTTCCCTCCAGGCTCTTATTAACGAATCGACAGCAGGGCCGTAGAGGGAGGAGGAGGAGAAGAAGAAGAAGAAGAAGAAGAAGAAGAAGAAGAAGAAGAAGAAGAAGAAGAAGAAGATAGCGGCCCCACAATGAGAACACGGCGGGACACAGCTGTCATCATGAAAGTAAACACAAACTACTGCACACACGCACGCACGCACAGCCGCACGAACACTCGCGCACTGCGTCGCGATGTGGCATCGGAAGTCAGCCCGGCCGAGCGGCGGGGCGGGGCGGGGCGGGGCAGGGCGCGGAGCAGATCGGCCGTCCTCTCTGTAATGGCAGCTAATTGTCGCAAAGCTCTGTCGCCGACAAAGACTGCTGCTGTTGCCGCCGCCGTCTCGTCTCCCATACGGAGGGGACAACGCTCTCTCTACGCTGCCGGGGCTCGCTTGCCGGCGGCGACGACCGTGGAGGTCCCTGAGGCGCAAGGCGGTCCGTCCCAAAGAGGGGGGCAACTTGGAGTAGGCAAACCGCCTCATGAGAGTTGGTCCACATATACACAAGACCTGTGGAGTAGGCAAACCAGGTCAGACCCTTTGAAGTAGGCAACTTACTACCCCCTGTAGAAAGCAACACCGCCGCCAATTACAGGACAATAGATACAGCACATCATTAGTCACCATAATAGAACAGCCCAAAGCTCCGAAAGAACGTAACGTCCACCAACCCTTGGTGGTAGGTGGACATGCCCACGCTCCCGGGCGGAGGTAGACAGCGTGCGGGAGCCCCTGCGAGGTAGGCCAACCGGCAGCAGAGCTGTCGAGCGGGCTAAAGGGCCCACCCGCCTGACGCCCCCCTCCGCTCGGCCCGCGCCAGCGCAGCAAGCCCGGGGAGTAAGGGGTGGCAGCTCGGCGTTGAAAAAGCAGCTTCGACTCTCTGTGCTGCTGCTGCTGCACGCGATCCGCACAGTTTTTATTATTCTCTGCCGAGGACGGTCTCTAGCCCTTTGTGGCCACGCCGCTTGGTGTATTCCCCCGGTTGGTTGAGTTATTGCAACTTGTTGTACAAGTCAGCGGCACGGTCCGCCCGCCCCTCGTGTCGCCGCCAGCAGTTTGGCTTCCTACTCTCTTTCGCTTTGACGGAGCGGCTGCAGCGCAGCGGCGGCGGTGGGATTGGCGTGGCGGCAGCGCCTACAGCAGCCCGGCGTGCGTGCATTTGTCAGATCAAAAGTACAATATAACGTTTGCGGGCTCCGTGTTCTAGGAAGATGGGCCAGCAAACACAGGGCGCTGCTGCTGCTACCGCGTCACAGGTCGAAAAGTGTGCGCGCGTTACT